ATGTAATTAGGTCAAGGGATAGCTGTGCTGAAACAGATTCCTTGGGCTTGGCCCTATCCAAGGTAGAGCTGCACACGAATGCTGTTTCAGCTTGTGTCTGTTCACTGCCAGCAGCCTAGATTCTTGAAAACCTACTCCAAGTGACTAGCCCGTCTCAGATCACAGCTCAGACCCTTGATGTGGGCTCCCAGCTCTGTACTTCTGCAACAGCCTCCAATAGCAGGGCTAAGGGCAGCAAAGTCTGAGCCAAGGTACAGCTGCCTGCAGCTGAAACAGACCTGCAATAAGTGCCAGAGGAGAAGAGGGGGTAGGCTCAAGGCAGCACATGCAAGGAAGGCACTTGTATTGATGCAGGTTAAGGTCATCCTGGGGACTAGGAGTTTGACACCGTGATTAAAGCACAATCAAGAAATGTCTCCTGACAGTGAAGACCATTAGGCTGTGGAACAGGCTCCCAGGAGAAGCAGGAGAATCCTCATCCTACTGTCTCTGTAAGAAGTGATGGGACAAGTAGTAAGGAATCGAGCCCCATGACTGGCGATGGCATGATGGGGCCAGGCCCACAAGATGCCTCTTTCAGGAGTAACATCAACTTAAGAAATTCCCTCTGCCCCTCCTGCAACATCTCTCAGTTTTGCTGACACTGCTGCTTGCAAGGCAGAACCATGGACTAGATCACTGTGGTGACTTCACATATTTGGAGGGATGGGAGTTTTGACTGACATATTTTACACCACAGTCTTACCAATGGTTGCATCCACACAACTGTCGGGATGGCAGTGGTGGGACAGGACAGGAATGTGAGGTGGGAGGTGAGGAAATAGGAATTTCTTAGGTTGTGCTTATAGGTGTCTTTATACTAACCCAGAGTGAATGAATTCATGCAAAGGCAGTGAAGGATGCAACTGAGGTGGAGGGTGTTAACTAAAGCATAATCTAGTGTAGTCAGACTTGTGGATTTGGACATGACCTAACATACATGAAAATTTACAGCAGAGAATGTCCCTGTTAATAATATATATGGTATCAATTAAGTTTCTGACACACTGGGCTGGCACTAACTTAGTGGTTTAGGTCTTAAAGACTGTCTCAGTTTTGATTTATTTAATGTTCAATTGCCTCCCTTAAATGTTTCCTTTATATATTTTTTGAATGGGTAAAAGATCAGGTTGGTTTTGAACTGTGCAAATCAACAGGAACATGCATTCTGCCCCATTTAAAGTAGCAGACACCTATCTCCTTTTTTGCTGGGTTGGTTTTTTTTTTGGTTTGGGGATGGGGGGAAAGGAGGTGTTAAGAACATCACAAAGTTCAAAATTAACGTCTCAACTTGTAACACACTTCTCTCTCTCCCACAACACTGGTTGCAGAAGCTACCCACGGCTGACACTACTCATGAAGCTCCATATGGTTCTGCTTCCCTTCATTTTTCCTCAGCCTGACAAACTTTGGCACTGCTCAGGTTTTCCTGGTCCTTGGAAAACAGGAGAGATTCCAACAATTCCAGTTTTCACAAAGCTCCCATGGTACTATCTACAAAAAACCTATTGTAATGGCAAAGCATACAGGCAAATTTGGCTTAACTGGGGCTGTAGAACCTTTCATAATGCACTTAGTATTGGTAACAATTATTTACACTGCAGTAGAGTTGAAGGATTTCAGCAACACAACATACACATACAGCAACAAATGTCCATGCCTGAATAACAGGTTAATAAAGTTATTTTATTTAAGGCAGAAAGGGCTCAAAATGGTGTGTCATTTTAAAGCACCCAAGATTTGACAACAGTTTGTGCAATTATCACAAACCTCTCAAGGAAAGCTTCTAGTACACCCAGGAAATAACCCTGCACACAGCGAGTACCCTGCACGCACCGTAACTCAGCAAGTGCTTTTTGCAGCTCCCTTCTACACTCAGTCATGAAGGATACAGATCATTACAGCCTCCAGCTATAGAGCTTTAGCTCCCAGAGTAGCAGCTCACACTTTTAGCTCTGGAGATCCCCAGTTCAATCTGCTGCATGTCAGCCAAGAGGGCAGCTGTCATATAATTACAGCCACAACTTTGCATGTGAAAAAGTAGGGAGAGTGAACAGAGATCTTATTATAGAATCCTGGTTGCAACCTGCTGAAGAGCTCCCTATTTAAAGTAACTTCTTGTAAAGAGAGGGAGAGGGAGGGGAAAAAAAAGGAAAGAGTCTTCCAACGCAGCTTCCCAATGCTCTCTGGTTTGCAGAAGAAATCAATGCTGCTTTGCAAAAAAGCCTTTTGTTACAAATGCAGGTATATATTAGACAGAGCATGCAATTGCAGACCAGGAGTAAGGCTCTAGCCCCTTATGAGTCCCCCAAAAAAAGAGAAAAAGAAAAGAAAAGAATGCTCACTGCTGCAACCGAGATATCAGAACTCCAACAGTGCATCTTAGTGTCTTTCTGAACTATAAACCCTCGCCAGCAGCCAGGCCATTTTGCTATGCAAGTTAAGTATTAAAATCTAAATGTAACTCAGCTACATCTTGTTTTCTTCAAACTGTACACACTCGCAGGGAGACTTAGCAGAAGATCTGGGAGAAGAGTATGTTTGAACTATAAAGGTACAAACCATGGCAAAAAAATTCAGTCTCAAATGAAAAGATCTTTTAATGAGTACAACACAAAACAATTAGACCAAGTTTCTTCTTCTCTGTTAACCTTTCTGCAGACCCTTCCGCACACATACAGCAATTTTCGAGCCAAATATTTTCCCAAGCCAAGAAGTTCAAACCCAGAATTTGAAGCAATGTAATCCAGTTTTAAAGACACATTCGTTTTCCACAAACAATTATTCTGGAAAGCTACCTTTCCTAAGTACAGCATTTTCAGGCTTAAGATACAGATTAAATTATTTGCAGAACATTCTCCTCTCCTACGGTCCCATCCATACATTCATCCATCTATCTCTCCATCAGCCAGCAGCACAGAATCTGTGGATTCCCCACAGCCTGGGGTGAATCAAACACTTTGGACCATGGGCAACAGATGAGAAGATGTTCCTTCAAACTACTTACCCGCTTGCTAAACACCGCTCAAAGTAGACCGATCTGACTCAAACTGTTCAGTATCTGCCTGCAGGAACACAGACACACTGAAAGACGGAAACCAGTTCATGCACATGCTATACTAGTGACCCTTCAAAACTCCCTGAAACACAGTGCTGTGATTCCAACAGGATTTGAAGGAGAAGTACCTATTAGACAGCCAAGCTGGAAGGCGTTCAAACGATTGCTAACACCAACAGCAAGCCTGTAATAGTTAACTCCAGAATTCACTAACACTTTGTATTTAAACCAGATGAATTCTCTGGTGACATCCTCTCAGCAGCCTCATTTCTGAAGCCCCATTTTCACTTGGCTCAGACAGTCTTCTGCTCCTCACCTCAAGCAATACCTACTCAGGAAAAACACAAACTACCTGCCCATCTCTCTCCCTTCAGAAGAGCATGAGGGAGAGAATCAAGGACACAAAACCCAGTTTTAAAGAAAGCTATGTGCAGCTGCAGCAGCACAGAAACATTTGGGGCTGATTACACACACGCAGCAGAACCCTGGCTGGGCTCATCCCACAGAAGGGACCCATAAAAGGTTCACCTCTCCCTCACCTACTGCAACCAGGCAAAGCTCATGAACATCTGAACCATGCTTGCTGCAGACATCCAATGAAAGCAGTACAATCCTATGCAGAGATGACTGAAATGAGACACCGTTATGCTATTTTATGGTATTATTTCTGTAAATTTAGCACTGCTAAAAGGTTCCAGATAGACATTCTCTGGAGACCAAAATCCTTTGCCTACCCTGAGAAGATATGCAGAGAGAACAGCAGCAAAACTTATACGTGCTTTTCTCATCTCTCCCAGCCTGCCGAGGCTGAAATGACTGACAAAGGTCCAAAATGAGGGACACACATAAATTATTAATACTGCACTAGTAGTCTCGCTGTTGCTGTGACAGTCTAAAGACTTAACAGAGGCAGGCTCTGCAGGGAAATATTACTTTACTTCAAATTATTCATTCAGGAAACTTACATACTGAGGAGAAAAGAATCATTCTGCAGCATGCTCTGTCAAACCCCTCAGCTTTAAGACCCTTCATTTCTAAAGCAAAAGCAATTTTAACAAGAACAGGAAATTGGCGTGAAGTATGAGGCGCTTCAGATTTCAAGTGAGCAACACTGGAACAGCATTACTTTTGGACACAAATCCTAACATATGTATTTTCATGCCTGACCTGGAAAGTCCATCCCACTTCTGAGAGCCAGGTAAGTGTTTTGTCTCTGCAGCCTCTCTGCTGAAACAGCCAAGTGACATACCAGTGAGAGGATAATGGGTAGCCATGCACTGGCAAGTGGAAGGGAGCCAAAAAGCCACTTCAGTTGGCCGCTTGAGCTGCAACCTGTGCTTTAAGCCTGTGTGAGGCTCTAGATTTACCTTTGTTTCATTCCAGGTCCCATGCTATACCTGCTGCCACAGTAGCCTTGTATCCGTAAACAGTACACAAAGAGATGTGGCTCTACTGATCTATTAGCTTCCTCTCTCCCATTGCAAGGGAACAGTTTATGCAGGGGTATTAGTCTGTTTTACATTACTTTCTAGAACTGGAACAAACAACCTGAACTTTGACATGTCTGAAGAAAGTTAAATTATTTTCATCTTTCTTAGTTTTCTCATTAGAATAGACTTACTTCTTACTTTAAACACAAAATTTCCCTCCCAAAATATCTGAAGTACTTACTGAAATGTTTTCTTTACCAAAGCCCTGCAAAGCCTCAAGATTATTAATAACATTTTGAATAAAGAGGCACAACATTGCTTCATACCAACAAAAAAAGCAGTCAACTTTTCACACAATAAAGTAACTAATTTTGAAAACTAGTACTTTCTATTAAAATTCTTGTATTTAAAAATCCAAAAAGGTTTCAAGTAACTCTAGACACTGATGGGGGCAAAGAAAAAGCAGACCCTACCCCCAGCTGGATGGCATTCCTCTCTTTGGGTGCAATGCGGTAACATTTGATTGACGCATCTGATCCATTCCAAAACTCCAGGCGCTGTTTTAATCATCAATGGGCAGAAGAATCCTAATAATTTTGAGGGAAAAAAAAAAATAGAAAAACAGAGTAGAATATGGAGGCAGGACACAGAGCACCTGGTGTTTGTCTAGCAGATCCAGCCGATTTAGCTGGGCCCAGAATAATCAACAGACTAAAGACCAAGTTCATGGCAGAAACTCACAGCTACCAGTATAAACCCCTTCCTCCCCTCCACCCTCTTTTTGCCATCTCAGCTCAACCCAGGCTCCCAACACAACCTGGAACGTTAGTCCCACACCAAAGGAAATGAAATAGGAAGAGGGAAAGGAGTGGGAAGAGAGAAACCAGGGTAAATAGGGATAGCATGAAGAGCCCATTGGCATGCAACCAAGAGCCTGCATAGGCCCTTGCTACAGCAGAAAACAGGAGATCAGGCACGTACAAGGAGACGGCAGGAGAGCAGATGCAAGAAGGTGAAGGTTCAAGTGGTCCCTGAGCTCAGGGGGTAGGAAATGGCAGCAGACATAGCACAGAAGTGAGCCCCAGCATGCACAACGAGCTCAGCCTTCAGAAGCAGCAACACACCAGGTGACCTGCTAGCTTGTGATAGGCATTTTCATTACCGACGGGCACGGTACGAGAAATATATAGTGTGAACCTTCCACATTAAACAAGGCTTCCCAGTCCAACCATAAATTGATTTTGCTATCAGCCAAACTCAGATCCACCAGTATCAACCACTGCTGCTCTGAAACAAGCCTCCACTTACAGTCTTGCACCAAACAGTTGCTGCTGTTTCATTTCAGCACTAATGAGCACTTGCAAGCCCTCAGGACCTGCCAACCTAAGAGATGGCACAATCCCAAGAGGACTTTACCTGTTCCAGCAGCAGCCAGAAGGCAAGCATCATCAGTGTGACCCTCCAGCTGGCCAGCTGACATATCAGACCAGCCTACATCCCAGTCAACCGACCAGGAGCCAGGCACCTTCCCACTAGAAGTGGAAAGCTGGCTGCCAAGTCAGTGGGACATCAGAGAAATACTGTTCTAGCAGGCCAGAGCTAGAGAGACCTGTTTGAGAACACAAGCTGCACAAAGGTCTCCAGGCACAGTCAGTAACCTAGTTGGTTTTTACATCTGCCGGGTGTTCCTAAGTCTTGGGAAGATTAACAGCAGAGAAGAGCTGGATGCGGGAAGGAGGGAATGCAAGAGAACAAGCTGATGTACTGCAAAGGGAAGGGAGCAGCAGGCTGAAGATGGGATCTCACAGTAGGAAAAGTGGTTGCTACAGTGCAGAGCAGGAGCTGGGGGAAACAGGAGGGGGCTGTTAGCAGAAAGAAGGCAGGTAAAGGCATGCTAGTGCAGGGAATGGGAGGGGCCTGTAGCTGAGGGCTGATAAATCAAATGCTGCTGCCAGAGTCTTACACCAGCCCCTGTATCACTGTATCTCTGTATCACTGACTGGGGGGCAGCACAAGTAGGATCTGCCACAGGCATGCCCATTCAGCAGCTTCAGGTAGTCATTTAAGGTATGTCTGGACCATTAAGTACCCTGAAGATAAGGAGAGGCCTTGAATTCAACATGACACAGTCATGTGGAGCTTGCACAATGAGAAGGATGTGCTCCCAGCCCTGACAAGGACTACACAGCAGTAGCTCACACCTCCCTTAGGCTCCCGGGAGCAAGCGGTTGCAGAGCAGTCAGACTGCCTTTGTAACCAACCCCCCAGCCCGTCAGGAGGGCCTGAACCCTGCACCAGCAGCAGCAAAAGCACAAACCTCCACCTCATGCTCTAAATAATTAAACTCTGTGGGAGCAGCAGCAGCCTCATAAAACTCCTACACAGACCAAGCCAGTCATTAATGGGGGTCAAAGATGAACACTCTATTTTTTGTAAGTGTGCTTTGATGTGTGGGGAGAGTGGTGAGAGGAGATCTTCATTACCCTCTCTGATACCTGATGAATTTTTCCTTTCCTGGCTATCAACATCTCCTGCTTCCACCCAAACCCCATACCGCTGGCAATCATCTGGACAGCCAGGGACAATCAGGTGTGTCTGGATGACATCTGTGCTAGCTGGTCACCTGCAGGCAGGGAAGCAAAAGGCCTCCCTGAGCAAAGTCAGGCTCTACCAGAGGCTCAGCCAGTGCTTATTACGAGGTCTGGGTTTCACACAGATGCCAATGGGTGGAATCCCAGGGCCAGTATGATGCAAACCACAACCTCACACACCGTCTCCCCTACAGCAAGTCACAGAGGAGAGTACAAGCCAGTAAAATCTGTCGGGATTATTAGCTTGGGCTCAGAGCCAGAGCTGGGAGCTGCCACAAGGGCAGGGAGGCTGCCTGCAGCCCTGCAGGTCAGCAGGAAGGAAGTGGAAGTCCCCTGACGGGCAAGGAAAGGCAGCAGGCAGGAAAGGCAAGACACAGTTGAGAACAGGTCATAGAAACACTAGTCTGACCTACCCCTTCTGGCCTTAAAATACATACGTACACACAGATGTGCAAGCTGCTTACTACTATGCTTTGTTCAGACATTTTGAAGGAGACCGCTGCTCTTCCCACTCTCTCTGCATTCCCCCATACCAGTTTTGGAAATGGTTCTTTAGTCTTCCCATCAATAACAGCCTCAGGTGGAGAGAAGCAAAGGCAGGTTGGTTTTGGGGAAGGGGTCATCACATGGACACAGAAAATTCCCCCAGCAGCACGCAGGAATGTTGGATGCTCTATCAGCAGTGCCAGTTCCAGCCTGCACCGTCCAAGCCTCTGCCAGCCTGTTTTTCCTGCTGCGTTTTCTCTACATGGAGAAGTCACAGACTGGAAGTGGATTCAAGATCGCTGCTGCTGTGCTGAGAAAGTGGCTGGTGTAGCAAAGCCAGCTTTCATTTATTATTTATAAGCAGTACTGATAGATGCCCCTTTTTTCAAGTCACTAGGAACCTTCTCCCAACAAAGCCCAATACCTGCACTTTCAGAAGGAAGTTAAGAGCTTTACATGTAATGCCAGCACTCATCTTTGCCAGCATGGCAAAAGCAGCTGCCGTTACTTCCATTATTATCAGAAATAAGGGGGGAAATAGCTCAAACTCTTGAGCCTTGGCACCTCTTCTCTCCCACCGTTTGGCTACTAGAGCTCGGGTTACTATTCAAGGCTGAAGTGCTCACCAGGGCACACATTCCAGGGGGCTGGGCCATGCCACGTGGCCAGGCTCAAAATGGCAGACAGCGATGAATAGGGTAATTAGAAAGTACAACAGAAGCCACAACATAAAAAACAAGGAGCTTCTATTACAAGAAAGGGTTCTACGGCATGGTTAGATCCATCACCCCATATGCTGGGTCATGGTGGTGCCTTGGGAGCCTGCTGCTGTTATCTGTTTGCAATCACATTTCAGCCCATCTTTCTGCTTAATGCATGAAAAGCAGAGCTAATCAGATTCACTCTCTCTCTCTGCTTAATGTCTTCAGTTCCCAAACATGCTCTGTACTGCTTCAACTGATGTTCAACTAAACCAGCCAGGAGCACGGTGGGCAAAAAAGAAAATAAAATAAAAAATAAAAAATGGAACTACCTAATAATTTTAGTCCATCTTTCCACCTATTAAGTCTAAAATTCCTTTTACATTTGAGCCTTGCAAACAAAAGTCAGGAAATTCCCATTTCCCTCTCTATGCCACACCCAGCTCGTGTATGAGCTCCCTTCTCCAAGCTGCTCCTCCAGTGGTATCTGGGCAATTAATTCTAGACCTTTCAGCCTTTACTCTCATTCTCTGGGACAGGTTCTTAAAATATATCCTGGCTAGGAACCTCCACAGAAAGATGTCTTCTGCTGGCACCATAATAACCCTTCTTTGTTAATCTATCTGAAGTGACCATCACATGCTCTCCTACTCCCTCTCTCCCCAGCACTATTTAATTATTGCAGCCTTACACAGACTCTCTAATGTGCCCTCAGCATTTCCAGTCTGAAGACAAACAGGGCCCTGGAACGGCTGCTTCTTTCACTGCATTCCTTTGCACTCCTCAGGGCAGCTGGAGCATTGCCGGAGTCAGCTATGACACCTGGATCTTCACTAAAGCAACCAACACAACAGCTGAGAAGCCCCCAGACTGAGCAGACTGCATGAAAATTCAGCAGAGATTCAGGAAAAGACTGGCTTACAGGAACACCCACCATCATGAGCCAGGTTAAGCAGCACAGGAGAGTCACCCATTACAAGCACAATTGAAGATTTGCCAACAACAACAAAAAAAAAACAACCAGCAAGTATTTACAGGAGATGAGAAAGAGATGTAGGTGGAAGACAAAATTGCAGCATTCATCTCTCTATCCAGGAGGAGTGGAAAAAAGGAAGACTGCAGAGATGAAACCCCAGACAGCCCGTGCATCTGTCCTCATCCCCCAGCTCATCCCCACATCAATCAGAACAGTGGCAGCTCTGGAGAAGACCCCCATTATCCAGGTCCTGCACTAACATCTTCCCCAGAGGCTGCACGCATGTGCAAGGGGTGGAAGAAAAACATACTTCTCAATGAGATTACTTACAGCATTTTCTATATTGCCCCCTCTCTTAAAAATGTCTTTTAAAAAATTATTGCGGCTGGTTTATAAATGTGTCAGATTAAAAAAAAAAAAATACATCCTTGAAAACAAAGACACTTTGTGCTCAGCATATCCAGTGGCACCATTATTTAATATCAATACGCTGGTTCTTTCCTTTATTCGCTCCATCCTTGGAACACAAATCCACTGTAACAGCCACCCAGTGTATAATCTTACCATGCAAAGCAACACAACCCTCCAATAATCTTTCTCTTGCCATAATGCTTTCACATACCAACAAGAAGAATTTAGGCTTAAATGCTTTAAAAAAAACCCAACCAACTCTAGTACAGCATGAAACAAATCTCTAAGAACTCTCAAGTTGGAGTAAATTCCCTCATCCCTCCCTACTACCTTCCTTATTTGAAAATGGCTGCACAAATACTTCTAATTTGTGCACCAGACTGACTGCAACCTTCCCCTCCCACCAGGTACAGCCATTCACA